CTTACACCTTCCACTTCTTTGTTACCATCTTCACCATACTCCAAGGAATATTCAAGAACTTGGATTTTTTTATACCAATCCCCTTATCTGTGCATTTATGCAGCTACTGAACAAATATACTTTATACTTTGTATTAGATGGGAGCTATAACAGCTTCTGGATTTATCCTGAAATCATGTGAATCACTACTTAATCACTTAAATCACTATTTAACATAGGTGGAGGCCAATTAATTTGGTGTGGGATTGTGAAGGTGATAGTACCTTCAGTACCTCAGCTAATTTAGGATTTTCTACAATTTGTTCTACAATTTATTTTCACCTAGAAGTTGTAGGGTAGAATATGTAGATGAATGAGAAAAAAAAATTAATGCAAAAGGTTAAAACTCTTGTCTTGTAGCCTAGAATTAAAATTGATATAGACTAGTTATAGGCACAGTAATATGGCTTTCTTAAATTCATAGGAACAAATCTCTGCTCCTAGATTTGTGCAAAGCACTTTGTTTATTCATCTGAGAAAACAATCACGGTATTTGTCCCAGTGGAGATTTCTGCATTGATGCTGCCTTTTTAGAGCAGAGTAAATTAATGTGCACTCTGTCCAGGGCCAACATCTCTAGGTTTTGCTTGGTATTATGTGGATAACAGGTACCATATCCAAGAGACAGTACTCATAGAAATAGTATGTTTAGCGCCACTGTCTGCTACAGGACAAATAAGAAGCATCTGTTAGTTTATAGCTTTTTTGGTAGTTGACTCCTTCTCAGTCCCATTACAGAGTTACAACCTTACAGCTGTCTGGAGGTGATCATTCCCTCTTATTGTCTTTTGTTTATATTGATTTTTGTTTTTTTTTGTTGTAGCCTTCAAAAGTTCAGCTGTTTTTTGAACAAATAGACAGCCTTTTAGTAAGGAAACACAACATTTTAATATGTGCCCTATTATACAATTTAATTCAAAGTCTTCATGCTCTTGAAGTGTGGGGAAAACACCTGCATGAATTTGCCTAATTTTACTTAATAACACATTTTTAGTTTTGGAATGTCTTAGATACTGTCATTGTAGATCCCCAGCTGTATTATAAGCAGTACAGTAAATATATTTCTTTAATATCTAAATAATTGACATAATTAATTTCCTAAGCAATATACAGTATTTACTAATGCTGAAGACTGAACAGAGAATCATAATCTCTGCCAGGACTTCCCATACTTTGCATATGTTTTGTTTTAAATGTAAATAATAGATATGTATACAGTATATACTGTACAGTCGACTGTACAGTATGTAGAAAGCTTTATGTAGTGATATTTACCTTTCCTTAATAATGTTGCATTTTCTGGAATTCCAGGTGAATTCTGTGTAGAGATGTACAGGTAGGTATAGACTTGGACTGTGTTAACTCTTTTAGAACAAGTTTGTTAACGTGCTAATCAGGAATCATCGTTGTTCAATTAACTTCAAAAGATGTAACTGACAAAAGTATAATGCCACAAACAGCATTTCTTTGAACACGTTAGTGAATTACATTGTTTATAATGGAGAGAGGTTTTGGGTGAAGCTAGATGTGTGCACAGAGTCTCATTTTCCTGTTCTTTTTCATCTGCTGCAATATGTGCTTCTTTCTGTTCAGGAGATCAGTGTGTATAAACATCTACTCCAGGGGGCAGGTTTTGAATTGACATAGTAGTGCACAGATCAGCCGGGCTCTCCAGCATGCGTTCAATCAGGGGGTGAGACATCTGCTGTCAGTGCCTGAGAGGACGTACTTACGCTTGATAGCCATGATAATCTGCAGATCATTTAGCAAATTAGGTTTTTTGGCTACTCCTTGAGACAGACTCGTTTTCTGTCACATAACTTGGAAAAACTGATGATGGAGCCATATTCAGCCAGATGTCGAGCAAAGTATAGTGGCGAGTGGAGGTTAAAGTCCATCTTTTGATTTTGACTCGTGGTTGGCTTATGGTTTCTATACTGTATACTCATATTTCATTTCTACTTACTTGTCTTGTCTAAAAAAACAGATTACTTTCCAGAATGGATGGTTCTGTTGACCTCAGTTTTTCTGTAGATTATTATTAGTTTCCCTCGGGTACTAGTATAGTTTTCTGTACCGAGATTAAGATGGCTTATTGCGTGGTATGTTGTGGCAGGTTGGTCCCATGAAGTTCTGGGTAGGAACCACAAGGGGGCAACAGCACCTCCCTGAGGATGTGTGTGCTCAGACAGCGCTATGGCGTGACATGTGAGAATTGTCATTAATTGAAGAATACTCATGAGGAATTAGTCACAGGTGCAAAGCCACTTGGGAGGTCTGTAAAGGAATGCTCAGGGTGGGCACAGGAAAGTCTGTTCCAGTATTGAGTGTCGGACGGTGCTCTGAGGTGCTATTAGAGAAGACGGGATGAATATACAGTACTCCAGAGAGGCACTGGGGGACAGAGGCACTACTGGTGATAAATGAGAAGCTGTGCCCTGGACCACCCGAAGGAAGAAGGAAGCAATATTTATAGGGAATGGAACAACCTGGCCCTAATCCAGCACTGGTGGAAGGAAAAAGGAAAGATTCTCAGCATCTTTGAGGGAACACAGGAGCTGTGAAGAGAAGAAACATGGTGGCTAGCATGCAATTCAGAGAACACGAGTGGGGAAACTTGTAGAGCCTGGAAAGTAGCATGGAGAAAAAGGAGCCTTGTCTCGGTACTAAACTGAGAAGCTCCTGATAGAGATCAGTGATCCTGGAAAGAATTAGAGCAAGAGAGCAAAACTCTGACAAGTTCTGGGTGTCATCAGCTGGAGACATTAGGATAGTGGTCCTGGATTGCTTAAGTAAGGAAGGAAGAAATCGCAGCCAGAGCTCCTCTAAAAGGCCATGTAAAATTCAGTTAATTGGGGATCTAAGAGCTGCAGGCAGTGGGTGAAAAGTGAGAGGCACATGCTGACAAGTGGGGGGGGCCCTGCTACCCATCAGACTTGAACATTGAACATCTGTGGGATGAACTTAGAAGACCTCCCATCAGTACAGGACATTTATGACTGACGGTGCTTGAGGAAAGCTTTAAGCATCATCAAAGACCCCACACACCCCAGCTACAGACTGTATGACCCTCTACCATCTGGAAAATGGGCCCGGAATACCAGACTCAGAGACAGTTTTTACCCCCGCACTATCAAACTTTTAAACTCCCAGTCTCTCTCACCTATGATCTGAACCTCACACTGCCTTCTTTCTTACCAAACAATCAGACACACATTGAAATCTACCTCTACCTTACATGTCAAGAGGCTCACTCCCCATATTTTTCTATCCTTTATTTCATTCTGTTGATGTAAGATCTTGCACATCTGATGTTGTTTTGCATATTACCTGTTACCTGTTGTTGTTTTGCACATTGCCTGTTGTCTCTGTCTTTCTTTTCTTATACAGTTGTTTTTTGTACTACTTATCGTCCGAGAGCTAGCTAAATAGCATTACATTATACCATCTACCTGTATATGAGTATAATGACAATGAACTTGAACTTGAAGACAAGTGGCATCTCAGACTCAGAGGGCAGCAAACAGGCATGCTTTTTCAAGCTTGACCATAAGAATAGAACCCATTTCACTATAACAACCTGGTGAAAAGCACGCATAGATGTACTGCTTGTGTTGCGATAGTCTGTCCGTGATGACAGGTGTTAATCAGTGTTATTATAAATAATATAATTATTATTTCTGTGTCGTGGCTGTTCAATAAAATGTTATTGAAATGCTACAAAACAGATTTTAGAATATTCCCAGTTATAAATTATTGCCTTTGCTGCAGTTGTTAGGGATTGGTTACTTTTGATTCTCAGTACTGTATAGTACCTGTATCAGAAGATTCAGATTCTTGCTAAGTATAGCCTGGGGACGTTTATATACCGCTCTTCTCTGCGTTATTCGTATCTGCCCAGAAGTTGTTTTATTTACAGAAGCGTTTTTTTCTCATTTTCATTTTTAAGAAAAAAATAAAAAAGCGTGATGTTTTAAAATGTACAGCTGTATCCATCAAAGACATTTTGTCTTCAATTACGATATGCTTAGAAGGAATAAAAGATGAGTCTCTGTTTTAGTTAGCCAAACTGTGGTGACCCACATGAGTTAGATATAATTTGCCCTCTAAAGTTAATAATGTTCAATTTTCAGGGGCTGTTTTAATCCTTTGACATGGTCTTGGGATATGATGAAATTCCGTCTTTGTTAGAAGTGTTATTAAACCAACTGTATCAGTGTAATCAAACAAGATACAATGTCCAGTAATGTGGTACATTAAGGAATTAAGATATATCATGTTCAAATTAACTTATTAGCATTTCTTTTGGTACAGCTCAATGTTAAGAATTGAAGGGCACAAAGAGAAAAGAATGTAAATAATCAGCAAAGCTTAATTAATTATTCAGCATATTACTTTAAGTATCTCCATTAATTGAATTATCTTAAATTGTATATAATCATATTCCTACTTTGTTTTTGTATTACAAAACATTTATGATAAATGTGGCTAAATCATGTCTTTGTAGCTACCGTACTTTTTTATTTTCTTTGCCATTTAAATAAAAAAAAATCTTCATGCATGTCAAGGTGCCCTGAATGATGTGAAGCCTTTCATATTGTCATAGTTCATCGCAAATGAGATTTACGGCATGTAGAACTTTTTTCCAAATGTTAAAACATACATTTAAAAGAACGAGGTTATGAAGGTATTCCTTTTAAAGCTAATTATTTTTGCTTTAATATGTAGCTTGTCGAGATCAGTCGGCCTTAGTTTATGTAGGTGGTATTTATGATAAGGTAGTACTGTAACTGTAGCATCTCTGCAACTTCCATTAAGTCAGTAAAAGTCTGTGTTCCCTCACTAAGACATTAGTCTTTTTTTATTCTGTACAGTCGTCAGAAGGAAGACACAATTATTTTTTGTTGCAGACTTTTAGTCCCGTCGATGTTTCTCAGAATATTTTTTGTTGTTCCCTTCAGGCACAAGACCCTCAGGTGTTAGAGCAGCTGTCAAAAAACATCACCCGAATGGGTCTGACAAACTTCACCCTCAACTACCTCAGGGTAAGTGTCCCTTAGTATTCATTCAGTCCAATCTCGATACAAAGATAAATTCCTGTCTCTTAGTAGCAGTCTGAATTTCCAGTCATTTCCGAGTCCTGTTAATCTTTTGGAATATATTATGCTATGTTTGCAATACTGCTACTGTACATTGGGCAGTATTATTTCATTTTCCAACTAAATAAAAGACCTTGCACTGCTACATTTGACCACATTTCTTAGAATTCTAGAAAATTCCTGCTTCAGGATCAATTCACACACAAACAAAACAGTAGTTCCCAACCCCATTCTTTTGTTTGTTTTTTTTTCCTCCAGCTGAGTGTTTAATTACTGATTGCCTTCATTTTCTACTCTAGGCAGAGTTGTTAATTTTCATTTATGTCAAAAAAGGTCAAATGGGGTTTACATTTGCTATCAACCGTGCACTAATTTCTGAGTTTGAGAACTGGGCTCATTCAGGTGTGCTGCCTGAAATGTTACCAATTGGACCTCTTCTGTAGGAAAAAACACTTACTGTTGTTGGAGCTTGTGATACAGTGTTATTCCTGTCTGTGTCAGATTATCATACATTGCTAAGCTACTTAGAACTGTTTCATAAGAAATAATGGTGAGCGTATTGAGGAGCAGCTATGCAGGTATTTCAATAGACCAACAATGTCTAATTATTGACATTGAGAGCTCATGGCGAAGAACATCTCCAAAAGACACTGAGTCAACCAGGGATTACTTTTGAGACACCTGCTTATATATAGAAAAATATATCTGAGAAAGCCCAGATGGAGTCCTAAGCTAACTTTATCGCATGGGTCTTTTCACTAGCATATGAAAACACCCATCTAATGTATCTATACTCAAGGGTTTACTCATAGTGTTGTTAACACCACAAACCATTTCCCTCAACTTTTCACACCTAAGTGAGCTGCTGACTTTCCTTTTGTGCATGTATAACCTCTGTTAATTAGACTTCATGTGTAGTTGCAGATCTTCCATTCAATTACAATATTATCTTTGAATGACTGGCATTTACAAAAAAAAAACAAGACTTTTTCACTGCCATGTTGGTGACCTCTAGTGGTCGCCCCATTGTCACCACACGTTCTCCACCTGATTCTGATGATGTTTTCTTGGGCTCCAGGGTGGATGAGTCCTTCAGTATAAAGACAGGAAGCCTGTGTCTGGTCTGTGCCACTTATCAACTGTTGTTAGGAGTTCCTGTCACATAGCTGGTTCATTGTTTCTGCAACAGAGTTTTTAGCGTCTGGAAAGCCCTTTGCTAGTCATGCAGAAGCAACCATGTCCCTGACTTGGCATGTGTGGGACAAGTTGATAAGAGCGAGTGGTGTGTCTGATCTTTGGTTGTCACTGACAACTCAGTTGCTTACAGGTAGACAACTTTTAAGCTCAGCGCTGGATTTTGGGGCCTATGTCAGGTTTTGGACAAGTGTTTTTTTGGATCTCTCTGAAAAAAATGTTTTTTGGAAACTCTCTGGGGCCTGGATGGCGCTGTGCATCATGCAGTAATCGCATCCCAGAACTGTCGATCGGATCCAAAGTTTAACCAAGCATTATTGAATCTCATTCAAATGCAAGAGCTTTAATCAATGTTCTCGATTGTTTCCCACTCATACATTTGATTTGGGAACATTTCAAAATCTGGTGCCAAGAGAAGTTCAGATATAGATTGCAGAAATGCTCAGTTGACTCCCCAGGTAGGGTTAGCATTCACACACTACTTGTGATGTTTAAGGTCAGCGCTGGATTTTGGGTTCCATGTCAGGTTTGGGACAAGTGGTTTTTTGCTCCTTTCTGAATTTTTTTTTCCGGAAATTCTCTGGGGCCTGGATGGCGCGGTGCATCATGTGGTAATTATATTCCAAAAGTGTGTTGGTTGGATCAGAAGTTGTAACCAAGCGCTGTTGAATCTCATTTAAATGCAAGAGCTTAGATCAATGGTCTTGATTAGTTCCCACTCATACTTTTTGGCTCTTCTTTCTTGATCTTTGACATTTTTTTTTGTCTGGGCTTCATTTCTTCTAAGGTTAGGCTGAGAAAGCGAGAGGACAAATACTTGTAAATGAACAAATAAAATACATTACCTGTTCAGAGGCAAGACCTTCAACCTTAGACCTTAGTGCTGAGCTAGCAGAGGAGTTATGGTTTCTACAATTTTAATCTGTGGTAACACAGAGCAATGGCAGGATGCAGCAGGCATTCTTCTTGTCTGATCTATGTTTAAAAAGTGTTTGGCATCTATGAGGTGCACCTTGCATAAGATAAGAATATAAGGGCACTAAAAGATGTGATGTACTTTCTGTCTGCTACAGACTCGTGAGCATGATAGGTTTTTTCACACCTGCATGAGAAAATTCCACAGCTTTGACGCGCTGTACAGATCCCCTCTCAGTCACTAATACTGACAAAATCCTTGACACAAGTGCAGTTCTTGAAGTGAGATTTACAACAAAAGCAACAGAAATACTCCAGTTGGTGCTTAACTTGCTGAAACAGATTTTCCTAATAATATCACTATGAATATGTTGCTGTTATAAGTGAAAAGTCTCTTGTAATGACCTTTATACATTTTGTACAGTGTGCCTGTTGTGGGAAAAACAGATAATTTCTTGTAGCCTTAACTAACATATTGTATTACATAGCTCTAGACGATATTTACATAGTCCACCACACTGAAACCCAAAACTTAAACAGGGCACAATTCCCTTAGCATTGTCAAATTCCATCAATGTGTACATATTCATGAGTTACAAAGAATTTTTCACAGACTTTGTCTTGAGGTTAACGAGGAATAGCTTTAAGGCCTATTATTCATCAATTAATTCTCATCGATCATAGCAAGAACAGCTCTCTGATCACAATGTTAGTTCAAATGTGGGTATGTGAGAAGCCACAGCACATCTTAGCCTTGATTGGTCATTCGTTTATCACAAAAGCCCCCCAGAGAGCCAAGTCAAGAGATACCAACATTCTGTCATTCTGAAACATGGACATTTCTGAGTCCTTTTTGTATAGTTGTTAAACATTTGCTGTAGCAACAAACACATGTTTGAGTCACCAAATTAAGACTGGAATGTGCTGTCAAGAAAAAGTATATTTTTAAGAAGTGTATATGATCTATAGCATTAATCTATAAGCATGGAGGAAAAAAACAACGTAGGTTTAATCTGTGTGTCTCAGACATTCCCCAAAAAGTGAGAGCACTGCAGTACCCCCACCCCCCAGAAAAAGTACAAAATATGTGTAGTTCTTAGTTTTTTTTATTCCAATCATCTGCAAAGCACGTACACAGGAGAACTCCTGTTTTTTTAATTAGTGGCACATACTGTAGCAGCAGCGAAAGGATGACCACAAAAATATGACAACTTCATCAAATTACAACCTCACCTCACACTGCAATGTTAAAATTGACCCTTCACAGTCTTGTAGTATGCCCTGAAGCCAGAAATCCCATGGGCTTCTTTATCACTTGGTTGTGCTAAACCGCATATTCAGGGAGGTCAGTGTGCTTTTAGCAGCCCCGGCTTCAGTAGCAGCTGCAGTAGGTTACCCCGTGTTAGTCCTGTCTTCACCGTTGAAGAGCATGCCACCTTTGAGAAGAGGGGCAGTGCTATCAGAAATCTTGGTGTAGCCAATGTAGAAGAAATCCGTGTGTATCAAAATGCCTGTGTTGCTTTATAAAGTATATAGAACACTTTTAATCTCTAACTCTGATGATTCTGAAATAATGAATTCATAGTGATCGTAATTTTTGAAGCACTGATCGCGTCCCAGTGGAGCATGTCTCCCAAAAAATCTCTTTCATTCAGGACCTTCTCTGCGTAGGCTCTTTCAACCAGCCATACCTTACCGCCCCTAATCGTTTCCTAGTGCTTTTTTGCAATCAAGGAAGACTTTTGTTTATCACAAAGGCACCACATTGTCTGTTTCTTCTGCTCTGCTATAAGAAACATGAATCCTGTTTCTAAAATTTCTAACAATACTACACAGTACAGAGCCATAAACTCGGATGTCAGCTGGACTGTTTTAATGTTAAAAAAAGATTAGAAACATATGACATGGGAATTCAAAATGGATTGTTTACAGGAATGCCAAAGGCGAGCAGTTGTACGAGTCTTAAAAATGTTTATGGAGTGTAATCGCCAGACTTTTGGAAATCTGAAATCTCAGATATGTGATGCATGAAACCGGACAGCATTGTCACTTGTATGCCAGGCCTGGAACACCTGAGAATTTGTCAGAATCGGTAGTTTTTCTTTTCTAATTATGCATCTCATGAGCACAGGGGCTTGTAATAGCGTGTAAAAAACTTGTTTTTTAGCAGAAATATGCTATTATAAGAGTTTTTAGATTCATTGACACAATTTGCAGGAGTGTTTTTGAGTTGTTGTTTTTTTTAGTAATATATATATATAACATAAGGATGCCTGTCACATCCTATAAAGATATTTGTTTCACACCTTATTTTTAAGTATATACCTTAGTTATTAGTATCCTACTGACTGAGCCTGAATAATCAGTACAAATTTCTACACCTGCTATGTCAGACCCCGCCTTCCAATCTTACATAAAAAAATAAAAATTATTTTTTGTCTCATAGTCTTATACCTAACGGACATAAGGTCATTTGCTATGTCACGCATTCTAGTTCTTCATTGTGCAGTTCAGCTCCATGAGGAAAACTTTGACAGCCACTGAGCTTGTAACACCTCCACGGACACCCCCACAATATCCTGTGTGTCCCTGCACGCACACATCCAAACACTGAATGCCAACAATACTGTCATTCTGAAGCATGGACATTGCATATGCTTCTTGCCTTAGAAGTTTTAGAAGCCATAGAAATCATCACTGACAGCTGTCCCAGAGATGACATTTTGCTCAGGTAACTTGTCTAACTCTTGCTGTACTTCGGGTCTGATTACTTCATTTAGCTACACAGAAGTCATCATCAGTCTTGAATGGTGACTGGTACTTTCAGCATCATCTTAGTCAATAGGTTGTTGTCCATCTTCTATAAACCCACCTCTGGACAGCTTGAATTCTGTCATAGAAACTGGGACTATAGGGAAACAAATTGAGTATGGGAAAAAAAGACATATAAGAACAACCGGTACAGTTAGTAAATTGAAGAGATTCCTTTTTACTGGAATGGATCATGAATTTCTGTGCAGCCTCAGACCATATTTTTGGAGAATACTGGATTTGCCTTTTTTTCCCTTCAGATTAATTTTCATCTCTGTGCCAGGAACATACCTCCTGAGCTGTTACCTGGCAGGCAAAGACTGACCACACTGAGCCCTCTTCTCTTAGGTTAAGTGGCTGTATCACATTAGCTTCATTGAGTGAAAAGAGGATTTAGCAGTTTGATAAGATGAAAGATTTTTTAGAGGGTTTATTGATAGGCTTTTTCTCTCATGCTGGTTAAAGCAGTAAGATCAGTCAGATCAAATGGAAACTGAGAATTTCTCATCAAGGAAAGACAGGAAAGAACATAATATTGCACAAATGAAGAACAAAATTCTGCCTTATCTTTCATGAGACCAATTTTTATTGGAGTACGAAACAAGTTACACCAGCCAAGTTATTGAAGCCAGTACCCTGGATTCTTTCAAGAAACAGCTAAATGTGATCTTCAGATCGATTAGCTATTAACTAAACAGGCTAGACAGGCCAAATGTCCTCCTCTTTTTTGGAGCCTTTAATATGTGTTTATTAAAGAATTATGTGAATGTGATTTGTTAGACTTGTCCTCACACAAAACAGTACATACTGTACAAATTTACAGAAAGAAGTAGTACTTCAGTGTATATATTTTTAAATCATTATGTTTGCAATGATTATCGCTATATTCCAATTTTTTGGGAAAAAAAGCAGTCACATTAAAATATAATCTTTCTTGAATTACTTGGGCCAATGAATAAACCACAACCTGTTATTTCCTCTGTGTTTTGCAGTGATTTGAAATGGAGTGGCAGTTTCCTGGCTGCAAGCCAAGCTTTTTGGTTGGCATGTTACTGTACTGTCAAGCTTTTACATTTATTAATGCTGCAGGCTTCCTTCAATTCAGTCTCAAAATAGACCTTGTTTTGTAAAAAAAAGTACAGGAATTGTGTTGGAGCTACAATGCTTAGCTCAGGAGCAAGAATATTTTTTTTAAAAAGTGTATCGATTGTAGCAATTACTTTTAGTGTATACTGAATAATATATAAAATATCGTGATTTCATATCTGTGAATAGCTTTACTGATCTTGATTGTGATGCATTTGCCTTTTCCAGAGGATTTTCCAGATCCCAGTAGGACATTCTTCAGAGGTTATGCATTTTCTGCAACAAGTTTCTACTCTGTACACAAATGCTTGTGGCTTCATGAACGATGATATTCCATACAGTACAGTATGTGAACTCATGGGAGAGGTTTCTGTTTAGAGTTTTCAAAGTTGAGATCATGAAGGAGGGTTTTAAAGACCTAATTCCTTCCACTTTGCAACAATAGCATATTCTAGTATGGCAGGGAAATGTCGCACCATAAAACACTAGGACTGGCTTTTCTAGCTGTTAGACGTTTAACATTTAATCTTGTGTCAGAGTACAGAAGAGTACTCGTCTAACATTAAACATTGTGTATTACTTAGCGGGGCACTAAGGTGTAGGTCCTTAAGTTTATTTTAGGTGTTATCATCAGAATTAGGAATTGCCATTTAAGACAAGTAGTACGATTTGGAATTTATTGTCAATTGCAAAATATTATGAACCAGATTTTGATGAAGTCTGTTTGAACATAGCACTGATATTTGAATTACTTGAATGGAAAAGTAAATTCATGAAACATTGAAACATGTCTTACATGGGTAATCAATTGTCTTACAAAGTATTCCTCTTGCTGTCATCTCTTCAGTTGCCTGGAAGATGAGCATGGAAACAAATTGTTCTGCCTGCAAAGACACTAAACAGTCAAGTTATTTGTATTTGCGTTTGATAAAGATGTGCTCCCAAGATACTCAACCAGTAAAGCTGCTCACTCCAAGCACAGGGCACGGGGAGCTGCATGGTCTGTGGTCCGAGTGTTGCAGGTGTGATTCTGGGTTATAAAGACACAGCAGTTGCTTCCAGATGGGGGCAGTATACTGCAGACTGATATGTAATGAGAAAACTGGACAGATTATGGCAGACAGGAACTGGAATTACAATTACCTTTTAATAAACCCCCTTAATAGCAGACACCTCTTAATACTTCTATGAATTATTTCAGCATTAATAAAAACTGAAATATCAAAAGATTAAATAATTTGCATACTTACAGTATATCACATTCTGTAGCGGTGAACCCAACCATGTTACCACATGTTACAATATAGGCTTCATTACAGTAACATTGCTGTGACACTCTACACAATCTACATTTGGGTGTGGGTATTGCCAGAGCTGCTTTACACTTTTCTGCATGTATTGTTTCTAAACAGATTTGAGTGCTTTAACAGGGCATACAGAAGACTAGCAGTATTTGTTATAGAGATTCAGAGAGATAAGCTGTTAAGAGTCGCAGTCCTCGTTTTATTCATGTCTTTGTCTGGTGAAGAAGGCAAGACATAGCAAATAAAGGAACAGATGAAAATAACCAATTCCGGCTATTCACAACACTGTGGGCTATACTGTATATAACATTGTACTTTTTGTACTTGGTATTTTGTAATGTAAGCTACAATACAGATATTGGCTTAGTGGTTTAATGTGGCTGTGTCCATCTCATGTTGATGTAAAGTTCAGGTTCAAATCTAAGTAAAGGTTCAAAATCTTAATTGAACATAAAAATAAGAATGGTTATAAATGACAGGAGGCCATTCAATCTATCTAGCCTGTTTGGTTGGAATAAGTTAATTGGTTCAAGGATCTCACCTAGCCATTTATTGAAATAAGTTGAGCAGCTTGTTCTATACTTTCACAACCCTCTTTGTAAAGAAAGTAGTACTAATTGTATTCTTGTATTAATTAAGAGAAGTAAAGTAAATTATTTTTTCTGCACATTTGTATTAGTTTATTAATAACTAAGTCCATTACTGTTTTAAGTCCAATATAATCATATCACTCAATATTTGAAATACATGGTGCTTAAATTCCTATTTGAATTCAATTGAGATTTTGGTACCTAATGTTTTTATTAAAAAAAGAAGCATGAATCAGCCAATTAAAGATGTGACACTGGTTAATTTGGCCAAATTAGTAAAACATAAGTCAGTGTTTAAATTTTTGATGTAATGTCATTAAGTTAAATGAGACACAGTCCAGGTTAACTTAATTATTTTGCTCTTTTTTCAGTTGGGTGCTCATTTTTAGTGTGTTAGTTTTCAAACGTTGTATACATTTTTTGAAAATTGAAAAAATAACATTTTGCATTAAGAGGTTTTATTGTCTCATTAGAAAAACGTTTATCTATTGATTCAAAGTTCTTTGCATTCCAAAAAGTTAGCTACTAAACAAGCTGTTGTAAACACATATGAAAATGCCATTGGGCACAGAGGTTTGCTTTTCTATTATGAGCAAATTCATTTCAAGAACAGAATTAAAAAACTAGTAAGGCGTGAAACTGCCAGACATGCATTAGTTACTCTCATCTCAGAAACGCAGTTGTACTGTATGTGGTAATGATAGCATTATCTTCATTGTGCATAAAACATTAATGCTCTCATTGACAGTTAACATGAAGTAGTTTCTGCTCTGCAACACAGCACTTTTGCAAAATAATTTTTGTTATAGGATGGACTTTCCCAGTCGCAGAAGAATTCATATTTGTGTTTCTTTAATACAGTACATTGTTCTTCCTTGGGGAATTAAGTCTTCAGAACTTTGTGACAAGCAACTTGCCTCACTAATTCAGCTACTTCTATACCAGCAACCCTGTTATAGAGAGGTTACTATAGTAGTTATATATAGTTTCTTGAATTCGTCTTTTCACATACCCCAGCTTGCTCTCCATGAGACACACAGACGCACAGACAGGGAGAGAAGCTTGGGGTCAGAGCGCAGGGTCAGCCATTTATACGGCACCCCTGGAGCAGCTGGAGTTAAGGGCCTTGCTCAGGGGCCCAAGGGAGTAGGATTCCTCTGCCGGCCGCGGGATACGAATCCGCAACCTTCCAGCCACAGGCGCAGATCCTTAGCCCCAGTGCCACGTTATCATCCCCACGTTATGTTTATTACTATTTGATTTTAGCTATTTTGCTTCTCAGTTCAGATTCATTTTAAAATAAATAAACTTTTGAATTTTAGCTTTAATATGTTTGTACAGTGGCATAAAAATGCTTTACTACAGTCTTTATTCAGTTGGTATGGAAAGATTTTTCTTTTCTAAAAAAGGCACATACAGTATATGGTTACTTTGAAAGTCTGTAAAGCAATGGCTTGTTATATTATGCATTCTGTAAAGTAACACCATTGTTTCTTTTCCACGGGCTTTCAGTTGTGTGTCATACTGGAGCCTATGCAGGAGCTGATGTCCAGGCACAAAACCTACAATCTGAGCCCACGAGACTGTCTGAAAACCTGCTTGTTCCAGAAGTGGCAAAGAATGGTGGCTCCTCCAGGTATTTAAGAATCTTTCACAAAAACACTCTCTGCCTTGCACAAACCTGTTTCAGCGCATACCCTGAAAACCACATTCTCAATTCCTGCATGGCATGCATCTTGAATCTTTGGCTTGACCGTTCAATCATGACAAAAGATTTGTCGTGTAATGTGTGTCCTGTTAAAAAAAAAACAGAAACTTTGTGTGAGGAGCAGTTAGATTCCTCATTAAACACAGTCAGCTCTAGACATTAAATATTAAAACACCCCAGTTCCCGCCGTCCTCGAAGCAGCAAGGGAGATGAAGAGGTTTTCAGCACAAAGCTGTCATGAAGAGCAGAGCAGTGTGTGCTGGGAAAAAAATAACTCACTGAACACAAAAATATCGAAATAGAGAAAAAGAGGAAGTTGAAAATAGACGCTGGCTTCAAATTCGTAACAGCTTGCAACTTATCATTTTTTCTTTCAATTAAAAGTGTTTTTGAAAATAATATGGAGTGGGAGAGGAAATTCTTTAGTAGACCTGACTGCATACATATTATAAATTCATTCTTTGGAGTAAAAAACATTCATTTGAAAAACTGTATGCAAGATTAATTTTATTTTGCATAAGCATTACCAGGTGACCAGGTGGCACAATGATTGGCACTGCTGTCTCACAGCGCTGGGGCACTGGGGTGCTCTCTGTGCGGAGTTTGAATGTTCTCCCTGTCTTCACATGGCTTTCCTCAAGCTGCTCCAGTTTCCTCCCACAGTCTCACAGTCTAAAGACATGTTAGTAGGCTAACTGACAGCTGGAAAAATTGGCCCTGGTATGAGTGTGCGTCTGTGTGTGTCCTTCAATTGACTGGCATCTCGCCCAGAGTGTACCCCACCTTGTGTCCGTTGCTTGCCGGGATAGGCTCCGGCAGACCCTGTACTGGATTAAACAGCTAGAGGATGGGTGGATGAGATTGCTCTACACTTTGAAAAGTGCAAATATATTCCTTCCTTGTGGAACAAACTAAATTACACAAATTCCATCATAATAAAATCAGATTAGTTAGTGTCTGTGACATTGTTTCTCATCATTGGTTGCATCTGTGATTTTTTAGTACATGGGCTGGTTTGGTCTTGTTTTCTTTTTAGCATGTTCCTTTTCATTCACCTCATAACTGGAACATTTCTGTTTTTGTGAGGAAGGAAACAGGAATCTGTTGCTGATAACTTCAAACAAAGACATGGAAATCCTACTCTTTTCTTAGAATGATATAAGAATAGATTTCTCACAATTCTTTTATGTAGAGATTTTACAGGAATATTTTATAGATAAACATATTTCTTTAATTACAAGGCGGTGCACTGTTTTGTTTCCTTGTTAAGATGTATTTGTACAGTAGATGTCTTGTAATGTGAAACATAAATTGTTAAACAGACATGGATTTCATAATACTATATGGAAATAAACAGTATTAATAAACTAGTATAATGTGATGTTTTTGGTTACATAAATAAAATAGGTTCTTGGTTTTGTGTCTGTCATTCAGATGATTTCAAAACATCTCCCTTGGTGTGATTAGTAAGAACTACAAATATTGATCTTTCTTATAATTCTTAAAACAAGCTTCTTAGTTTGTTCTACAATTATTAATATTCTTGTATGGTTACAGAGAAATCCTGTTTCATCTGTGGATTAAATGTTTACCAATAAATTCAGGCATAAAAATAATTAGCTTTCAAACGTAAACATTTTTCCATCTGGCAAATAAATGAAAGTTTATGACTGGACCACCCTAACATTGTTTCAGCCTAGTATCAGTTATCATCATAGCTTAAATATGTTCACTTAATAAGAAGTATTTCTTATAAAATGTTAGGCTTTAAAATTTTAATTTAAATCATCTACTTGAAATGTCTTTTGCAGATTTGATAAAATAATTTCAGTTATGGACACTCCAACATTTAAAAAATGTATTGGTCTCAATTTAAAGTTTAGTTTCATCTTCATTTTTATCAGTTGTCATAATGCAGATCTTTGTGTGTTGCACAGTTTAATGGACATTAATTACCTTAATAAATAAAATTCCCTCTGGCTCCGATTTCAGCAGGACATCCACAGAACTTCAAAACGGAAATTTTCCCTACAAATCACAAAAAAGGTACTTTTTCATCTTCTAATCCAAAGTGTAATACCAATAGTCTGATCTCAGTGGAACTACTTTCAGTCACATAGGGAAGGTTATGGATTACATCATGAATGCTCAATCGTTATCTGATATTTCCATAATTTATTATTTAAAATATTTAAATGAAAATGATTCTCTCTGTGGCTATATCTGTGTGAGTGAAATATTTCACTCTATTCTTTATTCGTTAATCTATCACACATTCAATCAAAATGCTCATTTCTGAACAGTTCATAAGTCCTGCAGGTCCACAGCGATACCGGAACAGAAAGCTATTCATACATGAGGCCAACTGCGACTAAGAACAGGATACTAAAGATGTTGCTCTTCCACTTAAAAACATTCAGAAGCAATAGGAAGACACACTGCTAAATGAATGGGTGGAATAGTGCTTGAAAAGAATAATAAAGTATGACATTCAAAATTCTTTATTTTTCGTTTTAGCTTTCTGTTTTTGAGCATTTATGTTAAAACATTTACCTAACTGTTCATTCTTACTAGTGCATGTCTGGGGAGATGTTAAAATACTACTTCTGTACACATGTACAGTGCATTGCTGTGTTAACTATGTGAATAATTACAGTGGGATAATACCACTATAATACCAATATGTTTACCGTCCAAACGCAATGATTTTATCACACTGACGTCTCTATTGTTATACTGTATGCCAATCCAGACCTGCCTTGACTTCGGAAGCCCAGCTGTACTGGCTCTTGCTGCTGCATGACTGCGGGGTTTTATTTTCCCTCTCCGTCTTTCTTTAGCCGAACCAACAAGACAAACAACAACAAAGAGGAGAAAACGGAAGAACTCAGCCAGCAGCGCTTCCAACAGCAGTGTGGGCAACAATGCCAACAGCAACAGCAAGAAGCGAAGCCCGGCCAGTAACTTCAGCCTCTCCAGTCAGGTACCTGTAAGCATCCTCTCTTCTCTTCTAGCCTGACCCCTGCAGGCACACGGTGGGCTGCTGGGCCGGTTTCTTCAGTTTGGAGGTATCTACAGGGTCTGTCTTGGTGGCTGGCTGCTCAGAGGTGCGCAATGACAGCTGTGAAATAAAGCTTTCAAAACACAGGTGCATTACTGACATGATACTTGTTGAATTCCAGTCTCTTTTCATGAACAGTTAACTTGAATTTCACATATATATATATTCGTTTTGTATCTTTGACTGCGACAAAAGTTGGACAAAAACATTATTTTTTTGTGAAAGTGGGAATTAAACTCTGTTGTTCCTTGTTAATGTTTAATGTTTACCTCGGCTTAATTGCAATAATAACTGTGCTATGAACTCTTAATTTCAAAGTGTTATCTCAAAGCACCACACTTAAATGTATTTATCTTTTCTTCATTGAATTCGACACACTTTCGACTTGAAAACTAATAGCAGTGGAGGCTTACAGTCCACAAACTGTTTTCTGTCCTTAGGCAACATACATGGAATTTAGTCTAAGATTTACATTAAGATAAAGTCTAAAAAAAAGTTAGTTTTTTGCCTTAGTTTTTTGCGGTTGCATATGAACATTCCAAGGAACATGATTTCTGTGAGCATTCCTCCACATTGAAGACCGGATGAAAAAAATGAAAGTTTTCTCATGTCTTGTGATATAGTTGTGAGAATGAATTCAGAGACAGTAGAACTTCCATCGCCTCCTTAGTAATTTCATCAGGTGTTTTTTTTTCTCCTTCCTTTATTAATTCTCACCCATGGCAAAAAAAAAGACTAGACTTGCAGTCTGTGAAGCTTTGATCTGCTGTGGTCTTGTCACATATTGAAATACTCTGTGTTGTTATATCCTTCTTTTCCCAGTTATGCATGTAAATTAACTTCAGCGAAGAGATATCGGGATTCATAATCCTTGTTTATAGGGATATACTGTACTTTGTGTTCAGTTTGCAGATTTATACATTCAAACCATGAGATTTCAGTTTTCAGAGGAATGTATGTTGAACTAGAGATAGGTGCATGAAAAATATTTTCTATTTAAAAATTAGCACCATCAGGATCCTTTAAAAAGTAAGAAAACAACAGGGCTTGGTCCCTCATTGTCTTTACATTTCCAAGAGACTGTATAGCTCCTGCAGTCAGGATCCCTCGAGGGCCATGCGGTTTCAGCCATTACTCATTGTCATATTTATTTTGTAAAATCACAGCCTGAAACAGCATTCACACCCCCTCTTCAAGTGTTGACACATGTCCTGATTGCAGACAGAGTAACACACTGAGTACACATGTCGCACATCTAGTGGTCTTGTCAGGGAAGTTGTACTTTTGCAGCTGAATGCAGGCCTACGTGATTTCAGTAACACAATAGCAGCCCCGCATGATGTTGATGGAGGTAGGAATTGCATTGCTCATGCAACACTGACCTCTACTGGTGATCTCTACTCATACACATTGAAAGGGATTTTGCATTCAGTTCCAAAACCGCGTCAGTGATACGTAAAATGTGTTAAAATAAAGACGTGCTCTAAGTAAACATAGTTTCCTCTTTCAGACAATTCAGTACGAATGACACACATTTTGTAGTATGGAAGATTGCAAGGGATATTGCATCATTTGTGCCAACTTGACACTTTTACTAGTAAAGTGATAATTTGAATGTGAATTCATGTTGCTGTTTCCTTACAGGCAGTTGCTAATGAGATGAATAGTAAGCATTATCAATTTAATTGTAATTAGTACTCTCAATCTTCCTAGCTCACAACACCAGCTGGACAGATTGGTATATTTTCTGCACAGATTGGCTCAGAGTTTCTTTACTGGGGTAGGTGACAAGACACCGTACAATAACAGATGGCAAATTCAGGGCTTGTTGGCAATCAGCAGGTTTTTGCTAATGACTTAATTAGCTATGCAAATTGTCAAATCAGTGTGTATATTGTTATTTAGTGAAAACCTTACCTAAATTAATTACCATAATTAAGTAGCAGAACGTCAAGTGTATTGGTGGTGGCTGGGGGATTTGCTGGCTTGCTAACAGGGAGAAGGATCTACCGTCTTGGATAAACAAACTTGTTCTACATTTCTTCCAGCAAAGAGAGCTTGGGGAATTGAGCGCTTTCATACCAAGTCGAGACAAATGATCAGTGAAGTGTTTTCTATTTAGCCCCTGTTTCATTTCTTAGATGGCAGTGCCATCCTGTCCCAGGATGCAGTGGGTGACACAAAGCAGAACAAGTGCCTGTTGGCAGTACTCTGGCCGCACTTTTCCTTTGGTCCTGACACCGATCTTGAGTAAACGTGTTTGCTTAAAAAAAATTACAAGAATTGAATACATCACCAGCCACAAAAGCTGATGCAGATTTAATTGCCAGTTAAATATGTCTTACAGATTTCACATAATCCATTAGCTATATTTATCTTACAATTAAAGTTAGCATCAGTAGGAAAAATTGAAACCACTTAGTTTTTTTCTTAAGTAATCTTATGAAATCCTGACCAAAACAAGTGTTGGGCCTGAGGAATTGAGCATGTCGGTCAGTTAGTGCTCTCATTCAGAATGCACGCTGAGCCCTGAAATTTGTTGCCTGGGATATGTGAATATCAGACCTTGGCTGGGACTAGAAATGTAATAAATCAACCTTTCCCCAGTGGTAGTACAATTTGCTGGGTGCCTGTACGTTTGCTGTGTTGTACAGTGACCGAACAGGACGTGTTTTGAGAAATTGTGCGGATTCTCCCTCCTTCCCTGGCTGGACCTGGGCGGCACTGGGGCTGAGCCCGCCTTCCTTGAGGCTGTGAGTTTCCGGGTTTAGTTCTAGTCTTAGGCCTTGAACCCCAATGTGGGATTCACGTGGTCTCCCTGTGTTCACGGGGGTAATTACCAGTTGATTCAGTTTCCTCCCACCTTACGAGGACACGCTGGCTAGATGTGATAGGCCTCCCCACCTCTGAACTGTCCCCTTCTCTGTGACCCTGCAGTGGCCTGGCCTCCTGTCCAGAGGGAGAGCGGTGCACCTGTGTACACTGTCTCTGTCTCATCTGGCTTCAGCCCTCAGCAGGATGAGTGGCTTGTTGATAATAGATGGATACATAAGAAGGCTGAGGCGATTTAAAAAGAAAACTAATCCCACAATTTGGAACCTGTTGCATGCAGTATATATACTGTATATAGTACACTATACCTTTGTACTATGCATTGAAACCACTTACAAGTACTGTATAGTTTTATAAACTGCATGAGTCTGCCTGAATATTTCCATACTATGAGTTTATCATATTATTTCATCTCTGGATATCAGTGGCTCGACATACTGTAGATATACATACAGTAGGTATTGAAAAGTATACAAACTTCACGTAACCTGGATCCATGACATTTGTTATCAAACTATTTACATTTTTCTCATCCTCACCATCTTCACTTTTTATTCATCCATCATTGGATGAAGGTGGTAGACAGAATGTTATGAAGGCACCCCCAAGATTGTTCTTCAAGCTTGTATCTATAATACGTTTTATCCAGTTTTCTCCGGAAGTTTGACTAGCTTCAGAATATTATATGATATTATAGGAGGTCTCTGTGGAATCCCTCTCTTCTGGGATTTTTATTTTGCTGTGCATCTGCCTCTTTGATATTTTTAATGTCTTCACTCTTTTAATGCTTTATTTTGTGCTCTGACAGGATATTTCTTTATCTGTCTCTTCTTCTGTGTGTCTATTACACTTCCAAGCACAAATCTTTCCAGGCCTTTTTGCACCATTTATAGTTTCTGTATCATTCTTCCACTTATTAAATCATGAAGAACACACAGGTTAAATCATCTTTAATATTGTAAAAGCACTCCCACCCATCTTCGTGTTGTTCAAACTTGATCAAGACATTCAAGAGAAAAGCAGTAACTTCATTTTATGTACAGTCATGGAAAGTAAAACATGGAAGCATAAAATGAAAAGTTACAAGCTGTAGCTTAAATCAGGGGTGTTCACAAGACTTCCAGTCTTCCAGGTTTAAATCTGTCTTAGCTAAGCTATCACTGGCCTCTCAGCCACATCAGAAAAAACAGCCACACACAACAGCAGAGTAAAAGTCTGCTACAGGCCATTGCATTAAGCTATTAGGTTGGCATGGAAACTGAGGTATTGCAGGCTTCAGAGGCAGCCCAGTAAAAACCACTGTACACGGGGTGATTTTGTAGTCTGCAATGTGCTGTTGCAACAGAGCCACCCCATCTACTGTATGATGAAAAAATATTTTTTCCAGTAACCTGGAAGGAACAAGAAATCTTGTTTAGAAACTGTTGCCAGCAAGAAATTTGAATAAGAAGAGAGCAAGTGTAGCAGGTAATATTATGTAGTAGAAGGCAGTGCAATTACCAAAGACAGCTAATACAAGTGCTTGTGTTGTTCATGTACACCCAGTCTAATGAACCAGCATAGTACTTATTCAAGATCATTTCATAACCTGCTTTATCCAGTGTACAGGGTCATGGGGGAGGCAGAGCCTAACCAGGCAGCAGTGGGCACAAGAGGAGATACCCCCTGGACAGGACACCAGTGCATCACAAAGCACACACAGACACACCAGGGCCAAGGGTGCTGGAGGTGGCCAAGGGCTTCTTACGAGAGCAAACTGACCCGTGTGCCTGACTGTGTTGGCAGGACGTGATGGTGGTGGGAGAGCCCACACTCATGGGCGGGGAGTTCGGGGACGAAGACGAGCGACTCATCACGAGGCTGGAGAACACCCAGTACGATGCCGCCAACGGTATCGATGACGAGGAAGACTTCAATAACTCCCCCGCGCTGGGCAATAACAGCCCCTGGAACAGCAAGCCACCCAATACCCAGGACAGCAAGCCAGAAAGCACAGCTCCCCAGCCCTCCCAGTAGAGTCACCTTGAACCTCGGCCACTGGTGGCCTTTACTGCCAGGGCCGCTCTGAGTTCTGACAACACACTGTACTGGGTGTCACGTTTTGCGCTGTACATGGTGTTACAAGGCTTCTTAAAGATTTTACAAATAAATTCATTTCCTTGTAATGCTGAAAATTTAAAAAGGGGACTGCAGTATACATATTATAAATACACATTTTTACATGCCACTCAACAAACTGTTTAATTTAGCTGGAAAATAGAAGTACTTTCCCCCCTGTACTTACTGTACTGTACCCCAGCTGGGAGTCTTGTTTCTGAAGGCAGGACCTTGGAGTCTGAACAAACCAGCGGCCGCAGAAGTTTTGTGGTAAGTCCAGCACACACATGCTCATCTAATACCATCGTCTTGCTCTTGGGTGTAGCTCGTTTACTACTGCAGGTTAGTGTGGCTATACAGTACCTTCAATTCTTTCAGAGTCTTTTTTAACAGGAATATTAGAAAGGACCTCAGAATAAAGGGTAAAAATGTTTAAGAATGTTGTTCTCATAGTATTCCATTCAGAGGTTTATTACACAGTACAGAAAATCACATTTTTAACAGGTTCTCATTTTTAAGCTAGGATCGTGTTTATTTTGTAAAGGAAAAAGAGGATTTCTTGATTATTTTCTTTGACAACGTGCTTCCAGTTTTACTGCATTCATCTTACTGGATTACGTTTTTAACGAACTACATTGTGACACTCGTGGATTTATTAGAAACTTCTTTGTATTTTGTTTTTACATTTAATTCAACATTAGTTTATTTTGTTTCTGTCCCACTCCTCTCCAATACACATGGCAGTATTTTACTATGATTTTGACCTTGTAACTATCAAGTAATCATACGAGAGCACTGTAAAACAAACATAATGTCAGCATCTTTGGTCATCCTACAGTTTGAAAGGTTCCTTTGTAAACTGTTTTTCTTTGTAAATCAGTCTTCAAACACAGTTTCCCAAACTGATATTGGTTAAAAGCCCAGTTTCAGAAAGCAAGCTTGAATTGTTTTTAGTTACTTGTTTTTTTAGTTTTTCCCGTTAGTGATCTGTACATGTGATTTTATAGCAAAAGAATCTGAAAGTGATGCCAAATTCTGATATTTGTTTGTTTTTAAACTAATGGTTTGGATTTGGATTCTGATATTCACAATGAATGTTGCTTAGTTTTGCAACATGTTCATGTGAATGAACCCAGAGAAATCACGGGAACATGTGATTATTTTCCAAATGTTTTTGTTAGTGTCATTGATATACTTAATAATGACTTGGACAGTGCTCTTCAGAAGACTGCCCATGTGAGTCTGGCTTTGTCCTCAAATACATTGCAGGTTTTAAAACGTAATTTATTGTGTCCCTCATAACAGCTAACCCAGTGTATAGCCAGGCTAAGAGCTGTTCCACAGTCCATGAATCCTAGTCTGTTTCTGTCCTGTCTGCACTTTCAGGTAGCACTATAGCATGACTCTGCTCTTAATTACACCTCATCAAATACCTGCTTCTCCCCTTCATCACACCTGTCTCAGCTATCAATGAATAAGAGTATTGCTAGTTACAGCACCTCACCAGATCAGTATGAGTGCCCAGCCAATTCAGCTCCTTGCCACTTGTTCAAAGCACATTGAGTTGTGCGTTTTTGAGTCGCTTCTATCCATTTTTTGTAGTGCAAACAAGAAGACAGGTATTTGAAAAGAGGTACTGTAATTGTGAAATATTTTTGTTTTAAAGAGATAAATAAGTGACTTTCCTTGAATCCTGTCCATTTTAAACCTATAAATAATGAGAGGTTCTGACCTTCAGTTTGGGACCACTGATAAAAGGGTTGAAGCTTTGTAAATAAGCTAATGATCCAGACATTTTTAAAGCCATGGCACTCATTACTTACAAGACAGCTGCATATAAAGGCTTTTGTGTTTTTTTATCGTACCTGATTTGAATCTGATGTTTTATTAGTCCTTATCAGTATTGTCATTAACTCCATGTTTGATATTTTTGCAAAGAGAATCAGCTGTCTTTCTTCTTTTTTATCTTTGTGTATTTATGTGAACATTTGTAAGGAAACTAACAAATTTCAGAATTTGTTTCATCTTCGTATTAATATTGTTCAGCACAACATGTAAAATACTAGCAAAATGTCTTTGTGTCATTTCTGATGTATTTTATGTATGCTTTCTCATTATGTGTGCCAATAAACTGTGGTTACAAGAGATATGCACCTGTTTTTATCATTTTTCTTCATCATTAACAGTGTTCAACACAGGCCTTCACCTCTTGAAGGAGAAGAGGAGTCAAAATCTAAGGTTGTCCAAAAGCTCAATTGCTTGGTTTCATGATAATTATAAGAGTGCTGTTTGTTGGGGAATGTGTTATTGGGGAAATAAATGGAGCTCTTTTTATGTATTGTGTTTATATTTTGCATTGTATATATGTCCCTTATTAATAAATAAAAAAGAAATTGGTCAAAAAAGACAATTGAGTGCTGATCTCAAAATGTGGAGCTGCTAGCCCTTTGTTCTGAATAAAATATATATTTTTTATTGAATGTTGATTTTTAAAAATCTTAGTACTTAGGATTGGTATTGATTGAACAAAGAAACAGTTATGTTAAAAGTATTATTTAGAGTTTGCTACTTGATGTTAATTCAGTATATGTATGTAAAGCATTATTAAAATGTTTTTTTTTAATTTACATAGATAGATAAGACTTTATTGATCCCGAAGGGAAATTGAGTAAATTACATGCTCTGTCAGTCATGCTACAGGATTAAAAATATTAAAATACTAAAATATTGTAGCATGGACACAGAAGAGTGGGAAGGGAAGAACTATTTTATTAAATAGGATATTGCAGTTTTGCTATTGTTAAAAGGTCTGCTCTCACCAGCCAGCGGGAAGAAAACCTACTTCTCATACAGAGTGAAGTTGGGGGTCCCAACTGACAGAGGCCAGGCAGGTCAGGGTGGGAACCTGAAGTTACAGACCTGGGTGGGGAAAATGGTTCACCCAGATGGCATGTTGTACCTCCAGCAACCTTATTTACTGTATCTCTTGCAGTAAATGCTCAGCCATCTACATTGGAGAAACAGGAAGGAGACGGAGACCGCTTCAGAGGACATGTTAGGGCTGTGAGATTCAAGATCTCTCTGAGCCCATTGTTTCCCATTCCACCTCTGACGGCCTTGACCACTCTAATTTCTCCGTCTGTGTTCTAAAAGACGGTTTTCCGAACTCATACATCAGAAAGACTACAGAAACCAAAATTATCCTGCAGCTAAGATCACACCTTCCCCCTTCTCTTAACGACAGACTACTTTTCTTCTAAATCCTCTCTATTCAATGTAGGTTTCGCTGACTTCACTCCTCTTGATTGGCCTCTTTCTGTCCCCTGCTCCCGCCCCTCGCCCCTCGCTCCTCCTCTCTCCCAGCTTTTCTCGCGCTACATTACCTTTGCTTACTGCCCTGTCTTTCTCACACCTGAAGAAGGCTCCACGGTTGAAACATTGTGTTTTCTTTCTTCTCTTTTCAGCATGGAATAAACCTATTAGTTGTTGCTTTGCAGCCCATGCATGCTGACGCAGCTACCCACCTGAACTACATTAATCTATACTGCCAATCATATATAATGCTGCTCACAGATTTTGTTTCTGTTTCAATATAGTTGAAATCTACACTGGAAAGATCTGAAATCATACCTATATAATGTACCATTTTCCCTGCTCCTACTGTATGTTTCAGTAAATGGGGTCAGATAGAAAGTTGAGAGTAGACTAGCCAGTTAAGAACATAAGAAAGGTTTAAAATGAGAGGAGGCCATTCGGTACACCGTTAGTTTGAAAGTTACAAGATCTTATCCAGCTGTTGCACAGAAAGTGCAACTCTAGTGCCCCACAGTGATGACAGAGCAAACTGCTTGTAACGCTGTCTCAAAGAGCTGTCATCTGTGATCATTAAAGATCCAAGACACTTTAAAAAAAAGATTGCATATAAAACATCTCTTAGTGAAAATATGCACAACTAATGGGTTTACCATCTAAAAGCTTAGTTTCATCTTTATGACATCATACAAAATTATAGGACAGGAATTTGCAAGGCGTTTTGGAAATAAATCTGCTGACTTCAATTGATTACGAATGAAACCTAAGATCCTAACAAAGTGAAACACCAAATGTGGAATGTTGCTATTTTTAATTTATCACCTGATTTGTTTTTTATCTGTTTTGATTGTTACTAATCATTTCAATATACTGGTGCAGCACAGTATTCTATTACCTACAGTAGTTACAGTATATGTGAATATTTAAGTAATATACTTTGTCATTAGTCAGAGGAGCAGGAGAGCTGCAACAGCATGATTAAATATATAAATGATGCATATATTTAATATGCGTACATAAATGCTTATCATGTACAAAAGTTAATAATTATGTCATGCATTTAAGACATGTCATTGCAGCCTCTTAACTAAAGCATTGCCTGAATATGATGCAGGGTCTAGCAGAATAATGTCGAGCATCTTCTAAACAACTGCAGAGTGTCAGCAATGTTATCCCCATGGCACAGTGTGCATTAGCACTCAGTGAATGGCCCAGAGGACAAATATGCACAGAAATGATGGCAGTAAGCTGAATACACAGGACATACGCAGCAGTGTGGAATAATAATTAGGACTCGGAACTTGGAACTGGAAGGTTGTGGGATAAGTGGAGTAATCCTGCTGTACTTTGAGCACAGTAATATACCTGGGTGGCTTCCAATGCATGTGGATATATCAAGAAGTGCAAATGTATTTGCATGATAATGTAAACCAATTAAATAATTGTTTAACATTGGTACCTACTTTGCCTATGTATTAGACTGTGTCAAAAAATGTACAGGCGTGTTTTGTGTTGAGTGATGTTGAAGAGAGGCTATTTCTTACGTCAGTGAAACATATAGTACCCTTCTTCCTGCATTCACCTGTCCTTGGCCACTTCACAAATGGCTAAAATCAATATGAACTCTAAGAGTGGTACATAGTGCTAAGGACTGAAAACAGCAGGAATTGTGAGAAACATTTAACACACCACATATGTATTTTAAACAAATAATAGATTAAAAATAAGTATTTGATTAATATGATGGAATTCTTATAGAACAACATAATTTGTAACACATGCAGTCCTGACAAGTGTACTAATGACTCAGAAATTAAATATTACCCTGTTCCTAACAGAAGTCAAAAGAATAAAGAAATGTATGACATTTAACGCTGATTTGTTCCCTTCCAAACATCTATACTATTAATCTTGTGCCTGTGTGTTACTGTAATAACCCCCTTCCTGATGTTACATCTTTCTCTCTGCAAAAAACTGTACAGCAACATCTGCTCAAAGAGATCTTTCCAACCACTTAATTAATTAACTAAATTAATTGGACCTTGTAAATGCACAGATGCAAGCCACTGCTAATGCTTTAAACATCTTATTCACACATCTCACACAGCGCTGAAGAGGTGCCTATCAGTTCTTTCCTTCTAACCAGCAGTTCCTTGCTTGCTTGCCTGAGTGCTTGGATCTGAAATCGTTAATTAATTGACTTCCCCTCCAGACGCATTCGTCTTTTACTTGTGAAAATGGAAAGCATTTGAATCTGTCGCCAGATTTATGTTTGTATTGGTTGGTCGATTTAATCAGACTTTTTACACTTGAAATGCAGTGTGATTGATCTTCCTATATGTCATTGTGCATGTCCTCATGAACAAAAAGCACATCAAAATGAAAACATTTCTGACTGCAGTTTGGGCAAATTAGAGGATGTCGGAAAGACACTCACATTCACATTATTCACCGAGAGTTTTATTATTGAAAAACATGATGTTTTTCTCTTTGAACAGGGTTTAAATGCCTGGGCAATATGGTCCCTCAGGTTTTATTTCCAGCTGAGCTCTAAATTACAGTCCAATCAAACTTCATGGTTGAATTTGCTGTAAAATATACATTTCCAAGCAATTAAAACTGTTAATGGAGCACTGTGGACTCAGAATTAACATTAATTCTGCATGCAATTCTTTGCATCATTCCTTCAAAATCCAGGTATTTGGAATTCAAGCAATGGAACTTGAGCAGAATTAAAGTTCTTTTGGGATCATTTTATAATAGAATTTCCAGCTCTGTAATAACCAGGCAAAACCCATTATAGGTTTATTTATGTTGAAGGTGCTCACAGTCATCTCCAGCTCCAGACCACAGGTGTCCTTCCCCAAAGTGTCAGGAAGGCGTTCTTTCTGGACCCTATGCAGACGACACAATCCGGGGTAAAGTGAGGAAACATGGGGAAAAAAGGCATGCAGGAGACAGGAATGAAACAGGGGGGGTGTGTCCATGGAGTGCTGGTGGTCGGGGGATGTGTGGCCGAGGCAAACAATCCAGAGATGAGTGAAAAGTGAAATCCAAAATGGCGCGAAAGTCCAAAGCCAGGCGATCCATCCAAGACAGACGATTAAAACCAGAACTGGGTCGGGACCGGCGGGGGGGAACGGTAACAGGAACAGAAACTAAAATCTTAACGGGGCCAGGCGCACCCAGGTCCTGGACTCGCTTGAAGTGGGAACCAATGCAGAGCCCGGAATAGCGTCAGTGTCTGGCTTTTAAGGGGGAACTGAAAAGGGGGCTGGAACAGGGAGCAGGTACGGGTGATTAATAACAAACAAGGAAGGGCTGGAACTCCCTTAAGAGGAGGGGTTTGCGATCATCGTGACACAGAGGCTATGCCACAAAAACAGGTCTCCCAGAGTAGGAGAATCCGGGTACCAAAGGGATGTTTTCCCCTTTTGCAACAACCTCAGTGCCCATTGAAGTTATTTGTTAAGGACAAACTGCCCAGTGTTATGCTACAGTAGATCAATGTTTCTGCAACAATTAATCTGCAACATGATATTTCTGGAAGCAATGACTAGCAGTAGAATACAGTTTAGAAAGGAACTGTTAAGAACAGAGTTCTAACAAAAGCCCAATGAGCCTCAGGGAAATTCAGCCCTCAGAGTGGTCAGTGAAGAAAGTGTAACATTCATTTCTGATGCTCTTGACCAACAATGACACTTTCCCTGTTTCACAATTCCCCTGGCCTGGTCTGTCACTGGCAATGTTGTTAGTGCCAGGCTTTATTTGAACACATAATAAGTACTAGGAGGAGTTCAAAGGAAAGACGCAACCACCATTTTCTAATGTATAC